CTCGCATTGCCCCTGCCGGCTCTGCCCCCTCCCTTCCTTGTTCTCACGCATGCTGGTTGGGCACTGCAGTCACTTCCGGTACAGGCAACCTCACCTTGGCATTCTGTATTGTGCACTAGTCTTTGTTGCGACCGAACCTGGCTCGACCCCCACTGTTCTGGTGCTTGGATTTGCCAGTGGATGACGTGGACAGATTCAGCCTGGTCTTGCCCCCATGTCTGCCAATTGTATGCCAGTGGGTAGCTTTCCATGGCCTATTCTGGGCTGTTTCCTGTCATGTTTCTTGCGCTCACCTGCCGGGTCTGTGTCCTGCCAGAGGAGTTGCCCAGGTTCCTCCATCAGAACCTTTCCCAATGCCAGGTTTCACGTATATCAGTGGGTCCATGAGCCAAACCCTACTCAGTTCACCTCCTGTCATGGCAGGAACAGTGGCTTTTCCTGACTGGCCTTCCACCCAATCTGGTTCTTGCTGTTGGATGTTTCAGCCCAGCTATGGCTTGTCCATACCCACATATGGCTCACACATGGCTCAGTAGGGGTTGAGACCTAGCCTAATCCATCCCACATCTACCCTGCTCCTCCAGGACACCAGAGGGAGTTGGGGGCTGGCCCGGCTCAGTGCATCCAATCCCAGTCCACACTTGTGCCAAGGGAGACTACAACCATTTCCCGTTCAGAACGCAGCCCCCATTCCAGGCCACATGCCCCTTGGTGGGAACCTCAACCCAGCTAGGGTTGTCCCCTTAGCCCCAAACCCGGGCCTGTTCCCAGCCGTAGATCACGCGCATGCCAGTGGTTGTTCTGACTCAGCTTGGCTCAGTCCCTCACCTGGCCAGCCTCTGCCTTAGACACTGTGGCTTAGTGTTCCTGGCTCACGCAGACCAGTAGGTGCAAGAGCCTAGCTCGGCATGACCTGTGTTCCGTCCTGGTTTCTAGTTTTGCTTGTGGGCTAAGGTTTGCTCAGTTCTGCCTGGTCCATCCTGTTCCATTGCCAATTGACACATTAACCAGATGTTGGAGCTACTTTGCCCAGCTTGTCCGACCCCCAGGTCTGGACCACATGTTCACCAGCGGGAGCTATGACTCGCCAGGGGAGTTTCCCAAGTTCCTCCACGTAATCCACTCCCAGGCCCAGTTCTCATACATGCCATTGGGTTTAGGCCAGGTTCCGGCGAAGTCTAGCCTTCTGTTTGGCCCTGTATGAGCTGGTGAACGTTGCAGCCTGGTCCACCCCACACCCTAATCAGGATGCACATTCGGGTGCTGCTGCCTTGACCAGTCCAGACTGTTGGGGGTTCCTTTACCTGTGATTGATGGCAGGCTCCTTGGTCACACCTAGCTTAGTCCATCACCACCCCATCTCTTGAGCTAACCAGTGGGGCTAGAATTTTCACAGGGTTTGGCCCACACATCCCTCACAGAATCTACCCCCGGTTATGGTTCTTGAGTGCTAGTTAATGTAATGGCTTGCTTAATGTGACCCTTCTCCTGATCCATCATCATGTCAGGTAACAGGGTATGATTCTGCAGGACAAGCCCTGAGCCATAGCTTTTGCATGGACTGGTATTTGGTGGTCAGCATTGTTCAGTGATTACAAGTTTTTCAAAGGAAGAGTTACTGTCATCTTTATGATTGCTTCACGTCCTAGAAGCACAGTGGGTTCAACCTGGAGCTACCTAAGCAGTAATTCAAAGAATCAAAACCTCAGAGCTCCCAGCTGGGCGGCCAGCAGGGGGAGCCTGGTGCCAAATGGTGCACTGGCCGCCCAGGCACAGCTCACCACGTGCACATTGGTGGCTGTCGTTTGGGATCCAGGCATGAGACGCCCCCTCCTGAGAGCCACCCGGGAAACAGAGTTAAAGATAAGGTTCTTTGTCCTCTGGTGTTTCCTCTGATCATGTAAATCTTTGATGTTTCATTAAAGATTTCTTTAAAGAAGATATTATTTGCTGAAAAATTTTGAAATTCCTTTTTTCCCTATAATGTTTTCTGTGAACTTTTCAATGGCATTTTTCAAGGTAGAACATACGTTAGGCTCATAAACAAATTTCAGTAAATTAAAAGAATGTTAATTTTTTAAAGATTTATTGATTTTTATTGGAAAGGCAGATAGACAGAAAGGAAGATCTTCCATTCATTGATTCACTCCGCAAGTGGCCACAACAGCTGGAGCTGAGCCAATATGAAGCCAGGAGCCAGGGGCTTCTTCTGGGTCTCCCACACGGGTGCAGGATCCCAAGGCTTTGGGCCGTCCTTCACTGTTTTCCCAGGCCACAAGCAGAGAGCTAGATGGGAAGCGGGGCTGCCGGGATTAGAACCAGCACCCATATGGGTTCCTGGCACGTTCAAGGCGATGACTTTAACTGCTACACCATGGTTCTGGGCCCAATTTAAAAGAATGTTAATTGAAATAATACAAAAATATATTCTCCAACCACAGCAAAATGCAATGAGAAATACTAATTTCCACATATTTGTGGATTGTTCAATAATACACTCTTAACAAATGGATCAGTGAAGAGATCACAAGGAAGATTAGGCAATGCTTTTGGACACAGGAAAACAAAAGCACGCATCGTTTTCACAGGACGTAGCAAAAAACAATTTGCAGAGAAACCGATGGCTGTGAACACCTAGATGAAGGAAGGAAGAAAAGTGGGGCGAGTGTTGTGGCACAGGGGCCTGAGCTGCCACCTGGGACACCCACATCCCATGTCAGCCGAGTGTCTGAGTGTGCTAGGACGCAGCAGGTGGTGGTCCAGCACTTGAATACTTGCCACCCCCCTGGGAGACCCAAAGGCAGTTCCGACTTGCTGCCTTGGACCTGCCTCTGGCAGCCCTCATTCCGCAGGCATTTGGAAAGTGACCAGTGGATGGAAGGCCTGTCACTCTTTTGAAATAAGTGAGTAGTGCTTTTTGTTGTTGTTTTGAACTTTTTAAAAAATCATTTTATTTTGTTTTATGATAATTCCATAGGCTCTGTGGTTGCCCGTGCCCTTCCACAAGGTCCCTCCCCTCCACATTGATTTCCCCGCTAGTTTTACAATGAATGTCCTTCATGGACAGTCACAGGTCCCTCGTGTTTCCCGACAGTATCGGCATGGACAGTGTCAGGGAATCCATCATCCTACTGTTAGCATGTATTCTGTTCTTTCACTGGGAGTCCATCTTTGGTGTGTCTGCACAGAGAAATACAGCACTTTGTCTCCATGAATAGTGTTTTAGAAAAGAAAATCTGATGTTAATAACTTAATCTTCCAACCTAAAGAAGAAAGAAAAGAGCAAAGTTAAAGAAAATAGTAATGATTGGGCCCCACGCAGTATCTTAGCAGCTAAAGTCCTCGCCTTGCACGCACCTGGGCGCCGGTTCTAATCCCGGCAGCCCCGCTTCCCTTCCAGCTCCCTGCCTGTGGCCGGGGAAAGCAGTCGAGGACGGCCCAAAGCCTTGGGACCCTGCACCTGCGTGGGAGACCCAGGAGAGGCTCGAGGCTCCTGGCTTCAGATCAGATTAGCTCAGCTCTGGCTGTTATCGCCGCTTGAGGAGTGAATCAATGGACAGAAGATCTTCCTCTCTATCTATCCTCTTCCCTCTAAATATCTGAATTCCCAATAAAAATAAATCTTTTAAAAAGTAGTAACAATTAAGAAAATAAAAACAGAACAGTGAGCTATTAAAGTTTATTCTTTGAGATCAACAAAATGGTTGCTTATATATATTTTTGAATTTTTGAATTTTGTGTTACAATTTTGTATAGACTGGGATTTCCCCCAATACTCCCACCCCCAACAGATTTTCCCCATTTTACTACAGTGGTATAATCCTTCAAAGGAATTATAATTCCATCTGTATCTTATTTACGTGTACCCTGACACTGTTGGTACGGACAATGTCAGACAGTCCAGCATCCCATTGTTTACACATGTCCAACAGTTTCACTGGGAGTCCATCTTTCGTTTAGAAGCAGGGATGCATGTTGCATTTTGCCCCCACATCTGGGTATGGTAGACCCCAGGTAGACGAAAACAGAAGAACTTTCAACCTACAAGATCAAGAATGAGACGTGGTATTTACTACGAAGTGTACAGAAATAGAAATGATTGTAAAGCAGTGCTATGAATAGTTGTATGCTAAGTAAGAGATTTGAATGAATCTTTCAGAAGAGATTAAAAGTGGTTAAGAGGTTAAAGTGGTTGTAAAATAATAAAATAAAATTTCCCATTATGGCCCAAACATTGAAAGAATTTTCACCAAACTTAAACTTCTCCAATCACAGAAAAAGAACTGTGGAGCTTTTATGCATCAGAGAACACAGTCCATAGACTCAGCAGGCAGCCTGTGGAATGGCAGAAAACACTGCAGGTCATATCTCTAACAAGCAGTTAATACCCAGAAAATATAAAGAACTCTGGGGGCCAGTGCTGTGGCATAGCGAGTTAAGTTGCTACCTGCAGTGCCAGCATCCCATTTCGGATGCTGGTTTGAGTCCCAGCTGCTCTGCTTCTGATCCAGCACCCAGCTGGTGTGCCTGGGAAAGTAGTGGAAGAAGGTCCAAGTCGTTGGGACCCTGTAACTCATTCTAGAAGAAGCTTCTGTTTTTGTGACTTAGTCCTAGCCAGGCCCTGGTCATTGCTGCCAATCAAAGGTCATATCTGTTAAAAAAAAAAAAAAAAAAAACAATCCCTAACGCTTTCAAGTGGAATATCGAATATCTAGAAGAAAATAGGAATTTGTTTCTTGTGTGCTGTTCTTTTGTTATTGTGATCTTTTATTTTTGAAAATATTTGGGACAGGCAGACGGTCTCTGCTAGGATTTTCCTAGTATAAATAGTACATTCTGACAGACCCTCAGGTCAGTGCTGAAGAATTTGGAGTGTTTTTACTCAAAAACTGGACATTGAAATCTTTTCACAATAAACTTTAAAAATGTCCAAAGTGAAAATGGTACACACGGATTTGTTCAAGTAGAAGATTCTAATTATTAATCTTTATTTCCTTCAGGGTTTAATGAAGAAATTCATTCGATGTTCTACACGTGTGACTGTAGGAACCATTAAAAAGTTTCTAAGTTTAAAACTAAAACTTCCAAGCTCTTATGAGGTAAGTTAAGAAAATATCTAACCTTGATCATTTTGATCTGATGTAAGCTAATAGAATTAGTAAAAATTAGCAGTATCAATGCTAATAGTAAGTACCCACTAAGTAAATACTTCCGCTGCGTGGATTGTTTTAATTGCCACACTTTATAAAGTGTCACTTTTTATCCGAGTCCCTTGAGACCTGTTCTTTTCGCGTCTTCACAAGTGACATCTCTTTCTGAGAGGGAGACCCTGCACGGTGACCGTAGAGTTGCATGAAAACCCAACGCTCCGGCATGTAGTGTGAGGCCGACCAATCAGAGAGCGTGTTAGTGCAGTGTGCTAGGAGGTCAGTGCATCCCACCGTCACCTGTGCGCAGGATGCTCATGAATATGACATGGTGTGGAAACAGGGCGGCGGCTTCTTGCCTGCCTGGCTGGCCATCCCGCAGTCTCTGTTGATTTCCTCATCGTTCCCTTTGGCTTCTTGCCGGAAGCGTCTAGAACACTAAAGACAGGACACGTTTCCCTGACTGATCTGCAGTGACGCTAATCTGCAGTCGCCTGCGAGGAGCGTCCTGTGGTTTTGAACACAGTCACTGATGGACACGAAGTCCATATTTTTGAGGGAACATCAGATCCTCATTTTGAGAATGTGGATTAAATATTTTTATTATAGTTTAGTTCTATAAATATTTCTTAAAGTTTGAGATACCAGCTTTTGTGCTAGGATGAATGAAAGTTAAATATTAAACACAATGTACCTGATAAAAGATAAAACACTGTATAGATACAACCACAGTGGAACATAGACAGTGAATTTGGGGCTTAAACTTTATTTTTGAGAACCAGAAAGCTCTCAGCAGCTGGCTCGTTCCGCGTGTGCCTGCACTGGCGCTGGGCGGAAGCCCGGGGCTCGGGGACTGACTAGGTCCTCTGTGTAGAGTGTGGAGACGCAGGGGCTGGGCTCCCTCCCTCCCGGGGTCTGCACTAGCAGGGAGCCGTTCCCCAGAGCTGGGAGTAAATCCAGGTTCTCTAGTGCTTTATGCAAGGAACGTGTGGACACTGCTGCCCTAACCAGCTTCCTAACCAACACACCTCATGCCCGAGCCTGGAATCATTGGAATTCAATTTTGTGCTGCTTTTTCTTCTTGCAGAATACCACATGTGGCTGTTTCCTTTTGAGTCTGATTCGTTGAGTTACCATTTTCTGTTCTAGTTTTCAGGCAGTTGATAGAGCTGAGAACCATTGCTCATGATGTCTTATTTTTGACTTACATGTTTATAGAAAAAGATGTAAGTGGAAAAGACTCAGTCTCCTGACAGCTACTTGTCTCAAGGCAAAGGACTTTGTGTATTTTTTTTAGAAAAGTTTGTGAATGCTCTTTATTTGCTGCTTACCATGTAGGGACAGGATGTCATAAACCATCTGACTGCCGGAGCTTCAGCAACAGCGCTGGTAACTGGAGAGAGTGTTCAGTTACACAACAACAACAAGAGTATACCTGATTAGTAAAGGCATTCAAAGTCCTTTCATTCCTTATTTTACAGACAAGATTGCGATATCACTGTCCTTTTGGCATTTAATAACCGTACCTGAGATTTGCAAAAATCAGTAACTTAGCTCCATATGCCTAATGAAAAGTGGAATGGTACTAAATTACTAATTCCATGCTTCAAGTTCAAAACCACAGTCTAACTAGACACGGAATTCTTTCGAACGCATTCTTCCCCCACTTTCACGCTTCAGATGAACTCTTCATCAGTTCGCTTTTCAGTGGCCAGCAGGCTGAAAAGTGCTCTGTAATAATCATTTGTTCCACCATGCTTTGTTAAATTAGCCACATTCAGTTCCTGTGGCCTTCTTAATGAGCTAAGGGGTGGTTCTGATCCTGCACTCTAAGGCTGCAGTGGCCGTTTGTAAATGCAGCCTTCTTATACTCCATGTGAGATGAGCAGAGGATCTGTGCAGGTCACTGAGGCTGGCTTGCCTCAGCCACACAGACCTCGCCGTTCAGCCTAGGGCCCCCGGCAGGTGCGCCTTGCCCAGCAAGTCTCCTGACTGCCTCACACGGTTCATCCCTTTCCCTCCTTGGAATCTGAACAAAGCAGCACAAAGCCCCTTCTGAGCTCAGGGCTTTGGGAGTGAGCTGTGAGGCTGAAGGTGGGGAGATGAGGAAGGTGTGGTCCAGACACGTGGTCTGGGAGCCTTCGCTGCTTGTAGGAATCTTGTGTATGAGCTAAGAGAGACAAGCAGACAGCACTGCCGCTTTGTTATAACTCGGTCTGTTAAAATTTAGGGAACGTACAATGATTTAAAAAAACTTAAGAATTCAAAGTGCTTTGTGTTAATCTGTAACTATTCTTTTTAAAGTTGGATGTGCTGTGCAATGGTGAAATTATGGGGAAGGATCATACTATGGAATTCATCTATATGACAAGATGGCGTCTAAGAGGCGAAAACGTAAATTCTTTTATATTTACTTACCTTTGTGGGTATTCAGTGTACTGTATGGCATTCAGATTTAACTGTATTACCTAGGAACTGATATATGTATGTATATTTATATATATATAGCTTGAGGAAGGGACTGGTTTCACTTTGGTTTTTCCCAGCAGTCTGTGAAAATGGGTCTTAAGTGCAAGATTGTGTTAATTGTGCTTTTGTCTTATTTAAGGTGAGTTTAAAAACCTAATCTAAATATGCTCAGGATTCTACCAACCTCGAGAGAGAGAAGATGGCATTTCATATGGGAGAAGCTAGGAGTGGGGTGGGCGAGACAGCTTTCTGCCCTGACTGGGACCGTCGGTGGCTGTGGGACAGGACAGAGTGAGGAGGCCAGGTAATCTGCCTTTCAGTTTCCTCCTTGACATCCAAAGTATCAAATCAGACCTAAGGGTAAGTTAAGGGCAGGGGGTTCTGGCAGAATTAGATGGTTGTGCCTTACCAAAAAACGTTGTGTGTTTTGAGTTGTAAAAGTCTTTAGTTATAATTCTGGCTGAAGCATGTTTGAGTTACCAGTAGCAGTGTGGTAGGGAACTTTGAGACACTAGCTAATAAAAGTGAGGAATGAGTTGTTAATACATTAAAAAATTCTCATCAGCTGATTGCATGCGTAAACACTAACTCAGAAGCTTGGACAAGGAACTTCCGAAGTTCTCTTTCAGACAGTGAGGCTGTCGTGTATTTGGAGCAGTATATGTATGATACTTCATGCTAGTGTTTAGGCGCAGTTCTTGCACGCAGCCAGTTCCCGCAGCCACGTCCTCTTTTCACAGGAAGTTTACTTCAGGCCCAGGAGGCAGCAAGGTGCTTAGGAGGCCCTTTATTCCTGCAGGTGGACGGGGAGGGAACAAGAACAGAAATACCTCTTGCCATGGTGGCCGGATGGGGGCCTGCCAGGACAGGGGAAGGTGGAGGAAGTCGGCTCCCAGGTGCGCCTGGAAGGTGTGGGGGCGTGGGCTGTTTCCTGGGGTGGGCTGCGGGCGGGACCCAAGCGTTTGGTGACAGATTATCTGAGCCAAGGGTGATGGGTAGGAGGGCATGAGAGCTTGATGGGCGGGGCTCTCAGGTTCTGCAGGTTGCGTCTCATTGCTGGACAAGCAGAATGTAGTGATTTTCGGGCGCTCTGGGAAAGGGGAAACTGACGCACAGTGGCTCAGGCCTTCAGGGCTGATGTTTGAGTTACTCCTCACACTTTAAAACTGTTATTCAGGCTGTGTTGTAAACTAGCTGTTACTACATTACTTCACAGAATGTGAGCCATTAAAAAAAAAAAAGATTCATGTACACAGGGATAGGTAATACAGAGTCTAGAATTAATCGAATTAATCAGTTACTGTGTTGCAATAATTCAAAACCGCACTTATATTGGATAGAAGTGTCTGGGGAACCACTGTAAAGCCTCACAAAGTCAGTCTGGTCCTGTTCAGTGGGTGACAGATGTGGCTGGCTGTGATCCTGACACAATAGGTGCGTCCCTTCTTCCATGGGAATCATTGCCTGCTGTGAGTCCTGCCTGGGTAGGGCCTTCCTGGGAGGCTGAGGGCCCTGTGCCATGGCCACCGCAGGAAGAAGGGACAGCCTCCTTGTGCGCATTCTCACCGGCTGACGATGGCCTTGAGGAACTCAGGGAGCCTTTAGAAACAACAGTATTGTATCCTTCACACCCAGCTTGTTTCCCGGCCATCCCAGCTGCAGAGCACAGGATGGCTGACCGTGAGCCAGCCAGGACTGGTGGCGAGCAGATGCTGAGATGTGGCGTGGGATATGAGGCTGTGCTCAGCATTGTTGCAGCTTGGCTGGTTCAGTGGGCATCCAGTGTGTGCTAGTGTGGGAGATGGTCTCGGTGAGATTAAGGAGGGACAGGGCCACCCCATGCCACCCCTCTGCAAAGACCCTCCCTAAGGGTCCCCGGAGCCAGGTGTGTTAGTGCAAAAGAGCCAATCATAGGACGTTAAGTCAGTCTTTTACATATCAGATGACACATCTATGACTAGCTTAAGTTTCTGGGTTATCTAGGATATTTTAACAAATGTTCAAGAAATAATTTACTACCTTCTGATTTTTTGGAAAGATTTATTTTGATGATTCTTACATAGTTAATTAGGGTGATATGGGTCAAAGGTTACAGGAAGGTGGGAGAGAGCATTTTTTCCACATTTTTTTCCTTCCTGTATCTTTGGGAGGCCTCTGTACCCTGAGATGGAGGACAGGGTCCCTGGGGTGGGGCGTGCTCCGAGGGGCCTGCTCAGGAGTCTTCCTTCTGACTTGGAGGCGGAAGCCACACCAGTAAGCAGAAGCGTTGCTGCCTCCACATCACAGGAGTGCTGTCAGCCCACTTCATCTTCTTGGCATCACCTGCTACCTTCCCATTGTCCTCTTTCTCCAGGCTTGTTTGTCCCCCTGTCGCCACAGTGCTCACCAGATCCCCCAAGTCCGCCCTCATGACTCTCTTCATCCATCCTCTCCTGTGAAAATACTCCCATCAGAATGCAGCCAAGGCTCGCTGCCCCTTCCCCTGCCCCCGGGCTCCCTGCTGCCGCCCTGCCCAGCACGGAGCTGGACCAGTGCTCTTGACACAGCTTAAGGAATGTCAGTCCTCTGCTGCCTCCAGTAGCATCTAGTGTCACACAGATAAAAGCTCAGGTTCCTCCAGAGCCCTCAGACACAGCCTTCACCCCGCCTGGTTCCAGCCAAACCATCCGCCTCGCAGCCCTGCCAGCGCACACTCCCTTTACCCAGCTCTGTCACCATGTCACTTTCTTTAATCCTCTTCTCTGCTGTTTTACATGGTATTCCATCTCCCTCTCTTCTGGCATGTTTTGTGCCTTTTTAAAGTTTATTGCCTGTCCTCCTACAAGAATGTAATCTGAAGACAAGGACTTGTGTTTATTCGTGGCAGAAATCTCCACATCAAAGCAGTGCCCAGAAGACACTCGGTAAATATTTGTTTAGAGAGTAACTTGAATGACATTTTCTGTTCAATAAGGTGCTAGTTATACAGAATATATCCTAAGGGTGCTTTCACCTTTTGGATTCAGTTTTCCATTTGTTTTATCAAAGTTTAGATTTTTGCTCAGGGTCAACAAATTCTAATATTAGTTAATGAATTTTAACAGTGTGCATACACAAGTGCAGGAGCAGTGAAACAAGCTTAAGATTTGAGGGGCCTGCGTGATAACGTAGCAGTTAAAGTCCTCGCCTTGAACGTGCCGGGATCCCATATGGGCACCAGTTCTAACCCCAGTGACCCCACTCCCCATCCAGTTCCCTGCTTGTGGCCTGGGAAAGTAGTAGAGGATGGCCCAAAGCCTTGGGACCCTGAACCCATGTGGGAGACCCAGAAGAGGCTCTTAGCTCCTGGCTTCAGATCAGTGCAGCTCTGGCTGTTGGTCACTTGGGGAGTGAATCATTACACCAAAGATCTTCCTGTCTCTTCTCTGTATATCTGCCTTTCCAATAGAAATAAAACTTTAAAAAATTTGGAAGAATGGCAGATAGAGAGGAGAACACTCCCCCAGTAGTCCCAGTGGCTGGGGCCGGACCATCTCCCACTGCTATCCCAGGCATCTTAGCAGGGAGCTGGCCAGGACTAGACCCAGAGCTCACTCGTAGGATGCAGTAAGTCTGGGGCAAGGCCCCAGGATCTGCATTTCTGGTAAGTTCTCAGGAAATGCCAATGTGCTTGATCTTTGAGCCATTTTTGTTGAATAGGGAGGTCTGACCTGGGACCCGCAGCTTTCTCATCTACAAACTGAGGCTGTGGGATTAAAAAATTAGATCTCACTGCATGAGAAACTCAGTCATCAGTCTCTTCATCTTGGCTAGACCATGCATATTTTAAACTTTTGTTAAATAATTGTGTCCTCTTAAAAGCTTTTAACAATTTGTAATTACACTAGTAATAAGGTGTGGGAGTCCCACCGCACGGTTCCCCCAACATTGCAGAGCTCCCATCTTGTATTTTTTTGTGGAAATTTTTTCATGTTTGTATATTTACAGACTGCTAGAAATTCTTTACATATTTTGAATGAGTTTTTAATACATTTTGCAGGTCCAGTTGGATCCTGCTTCCTGATTGGCCTCAGTTTTTTAAAACAGATTTATTTTTATTGGAAAGTCAGATATACAGAGAGGAAGATCTTCCATGCAATGATTCATTCCTCAAGCAGCTGCAGTGGCCAGAGCTGAGCTGATCCAAAGCCAGGAGCCAAGAGGCTCTTCAGGTCTCCCATGTGGGTGCAGGGTCCCAAGGCTTTGGGCCGTCCTCGATGCTTTCTCAGACTACAAAAGCAAGGAGTGGATGGGAAGCGGGCTGCCAGGATTAGAATCAATGCCCATACGGGATCCAGGCAATCTCACCAGGTCCAGCCTCAGTTTTTTGAGCCTTACTAAAGGTGACAGTATGTGTTGAAAGTTGAGTGAGAATTAATGACACGTACGTACCTACTGAAGTGCTCGGCAGAGTGCCTGTCCGGATAGACACTTCAGACTAATGAATGCTAGCTTTCATTAAGATCATAATTCTCTCCTCTACCACATGTCAACATCTTTCTCTTCAGCTTAGTTTTACCCTAAATTCTTGTTCTGCTCACGTTTTTGTGGGGACATTGAGCACCCGTTGTTAGTAGAGCCACCTCCCCAGGTGATCGCGTTTGGTTTTGTCTGCCATAAGCTCTGCCAGTCCAGCACCTACAGTCACCAAACAGTGTAGGAGGTCTTCCTTTGCATTAGTTGCAGTATCAGGCAACTTTTAGTAAAAGCAAACATCTTGATTGATGCCAAAGAGATTAAAAGGAAAACAAGTGTCAGAGTCAAGTTGCCTCTTTGTAGCTTAAAGCAGAGGTGGAAACAGAGTGAGGGCTGTCTCATCCACGGCTCACTCCTAAAGGCCAGCAATAGCCGGGGCTGCCGGGGCCATCTAGGTCCCTGATGGGGGTCGCAGGGACCGGCCAGTGGAGCATCAGCCATGCCTCCCCGGCTGCTGAAAGTAGGAGCAGGGCTGGGACTGAAGCCAGGCGCTCTGCCAGGATGCTGCTTGGGATGCCCACGGCCCCTAACTAGTGTACAGAGTGCCCAAGCATTTGAGTTGACTGCTATCTAAGACATTTAGCAAAGTCTGACAGGACAAAGCTTGAAGCTTCAGGTAGAATGCCAAAGGAATGCAACAATGGAGAAAAGTTTCTAAATTAAAAGGCTGCAAATGTATTACTTCATCATTGCTGGCTTAGTCTTTCGAAATATTTAAAACCTACTCAGACATTAATTATCCTAATTTATACTTCAATTTTAATGCATTTAATTTTCTTCATTAAAGGTATATGCAATGCTGATGTATAGATGCATACTAAGTTAAATATAAAGCATAAGTTATGCTTTATAGTCTTATTGCAATTAATACTATAATACATAATTTAGAATTGCTTTTCAATGTGGACTGGTTAACAGGTAGTAAGTATATCATGGCATCTGTGAAAGTTTGAAAATGTTTGCTCTTTATACCATTTTAAAACCCTGATGGCTGTTCTGTGCCTTCACCGACAGGAATGTAAATAGGCAGTGAGAAGTGGAGTCAGGCAGTCCATACTCCAGTGCTACTGAAGTGGCCTCAACTCTGTAGACAACCCTGTGTAAAACAGAAAGGCCAGGTACATGTCGGTGCCCCTATCACAGCCCTAGTTCCCTCGAGCAGTCAGACCCAGGAAGCGGCCACCAGCAGGGATAGGTGCCCCTGGAGACTCGAGACGTGAAGGGGACTTAAGATTGGCCACCATTTTTGGAATGCACAATTTATAGAACTCTCACAGCTAGATGCTAAAATTACTTCAAGCTAAGTTTTATCAAGTTTACCATTCACAGTTATAATCTATTCCCCCCCCCAAAAAAAACCCATATAGTCTTACAATGTTTATTTAAAAGTAATCATGTTGACTGATGCTTGACGTTAAGCTATTTGAAGTAATCCGTTTGAAACATGTATCCAGTTGTGGATGCCTCTTATCTGATCAGTTCATCTCCTCCGCAGTTTCGGTGTGTGAACTGCTCATCTTCGCAAGCCTGCCCACAGGATGGCCCTTTGTATCAGGTAAGAGGCACTCACGGCGGTACATACGCCCGTCACGATGCCGTCCCACTCGGCCCGAGCCACTCACCGCAGCGATAAAAACTCGAGCTTCTTACCATAGAGACCAGAGTCCCATTGTTCAGTTCTGCTCAAGTATAATCATAAAAAATTATAAAAAATTACACACATGAAGGCCATCAGTTGTAAGTCAGGAATTTTTGTAGTAAATTCTAGTTTCAGCTCGGTGAGAATTCTGGTCCATGTTGAATTAGGATATTACTTTCTTTGTGCAAATGCTTTTAAAAAAATTTAAACCACCATAAATGAAAGAGGGAATATCTAATTAGGCGAATCTAAATAACAGCAGCAGGTAACTTGGGTTACCTTTTAATAATGAAGAAATAGCTCACTTTGTTAAAATGTATCTTAAAACTTTTGGAAAGGGGCCCTCTCGCCAGTGCTCGCGCTGGTGTGCTGGGTGCTCCGATGCACCTGCCTGCCCATGACCTGGGAAGGAAGCAGAGAACGGCCCAGTCCATGGGTCCCTGCCACTCCCGGGGGAGTCCAGAATGCAGCTGCCCTGGGTCCTGGTCTTGACCTGGCCGTTACAGCCCTCTGGAAAGGGAGCCAGGGAAGGGAAGATCCATTTGCAGAGTGCCGTATTGCACAGTAGGCATGATCCAAATCAACCTTCAAGTGGTTTTGGTTTCAAAGCAACAAAATGAAGAGAATTAAGGTATAATAAACTTAGGTGATAAGCAAAATTCAGTATTGCAGTTTTTGAGCTGGGATGTAAAGTATTGAAAGAACCACTTGAAGTCAGTAATAAAGAATTTTAAACTAGTTGTTCAGAGTTTCCCCTCAGTCTTTTGGTCAGTGATAGGAGTCCCCAATCCTCCATTACAACGTATGTTTTTTGGTACACCCATCTTTGGAATTTGGAAGATCTCCCATCTGCTGGCTCCCTCTCTAAGTACCTGTGGCAGCTGGGCCAGCCCAGGGCAGACACTGAATGGTCTCTCCCATCACCTGCTGGCCCCAGAGCACATGTTAGCAGGAGGCCAAGGTCGGGAGCCAACAAAGCCGAGAGCTGAGCCCAGGCACTCCGGTGCAGGACGTGGTGTCCCAGGGGCCAGCTTGAGTCCTGTGCCAACGCCATGCCTTGATACACACTTCTTAAAGTTCTTGTTTTTCAGCAACATAGTTAATGAAGTTAACATCTGTCAAGGGAAAATCATTTTGAAAGAAACATTATCTACATTATTTACCTAATATAAGGAACAAGATTTAAGTGTATAAGCTGGTGAGTTCCATAAATACAAGGAGTCTGTGTTTTAGCTTCATGCCAATTCTGGTGTGATTATTGTAGCGACAGCCCTTGCCCGTAGCTGCGTAGCTACAACCCAAATACCCCTGTTTTGGTTGGATGCTTTTTTTTTTGCATCCTTGAAATGTTATTAAACCTCAATCCAAATCATTAGGTAAACTGTAAGAAGAAAACAAAATTTTTTGAGATTTATACAGGTAGACAGGATGAGGGAGATAGACTGGACTGTGAGATCTTCCATCCACTGGCGTATAGTCTTATTGCCTCAAAGCTGAGCCGGCCCAGGCCAAAACCAGGAGCCCGAAACTCCATGAGGTCTCCCGTGTGGGTGGCAGGCGCTCAAGTATCTGGGCCATCTTCCAGTGCTTTCTCATGGACATTAACAGGAAGCTGGATTGGAAGCAGAGCAGCCAGGACTAGAACTGGCGTCACAGGCAGCAGCCTGACAGATCTACACATCTGTCCTTTCTTTTCTGTGTGCTTCGTCATGAGCAATAGTCATGTAGACATTTAACTTTTAGTTAACAGGATGTACCTTCAGCCAAAAATCAGAAAATTTCTAAGGCAGGCACTGTCATTTTATTATTATGGGAATGTATCTTACGTGCGGATTCATAGTGCTTTTAAGTTTTCTTAAAAAATTGAGAATTTTCTAGGAAAGTGTCTGTGAATCACAGTTTACCCAAAAGGAAAGAAAGATCACTAGTTAATGAAATAGATTATTTTAAAACGTTAAAGAACTTCCTTAAAGGATACCTGAATGGTTCTGTGGGCAGAATCCTCACATTCTCAGTACCATTCCCATGCCAGGTGCATGTATTACTTTAATTGAAAAGGTAGAATTCTCCTAGATTCCCTTTACAAAAGTAGACAGAGTCCACAAGTAGAAAACAAGTACGTCTCATTTAAATGATAAATACACTAAAAGAATACTAGACTAAGACCTTAGTATCATGAGGGGATTAACACGAGCTTATCTAGTATGTATAAAATCTGTCAGTAGGTATCAGATGTTTGATTAAATTAGATTTTTTTCCCAGCCTTGTAGCCTTGTTTTGAAATTTTTCAAAAAAAGCAACAAAGGGGAAACAGCCATTGAAAGGAATATTGCTTACCTAGATCCACCACTTACCATTTCACTCGATTTATTACCCGCTTCCTCCTCTTCCTCTCTTTGATCTCTGCACAAAAAGACCTGTTGTTCTTGTTTAATTCAGGTAGTAGGAGAGCTGATCATTTAAGACATGAGTCTCTTTCCTAAGACCACCTCTCCTCATATGTATCCATAACTCCATTTCATATGTAACAAGTTTTAGTGTTACACTGAAATTGGGGAGATGTAGGCTGTCTCCATGATACAGTGACATTTAGTGTAACACCATCCACATGTGAATCAGCTTTTTGTTGAACTTGGTAATGCCAAACATTAGATATAAACAGGTGCTTTGGTCAGTCCCACTTCTGAAATGAGTGATGAGGAACCAAGTGTTGCTACTGGTTAACTGCGTTTTAAAGCTGAAACAATTAAGGTTAGTACTCCTTTAAATAGAATTATGAATCAAAAGGACAGCTCAGGAATAGACTGTAGAATGTGTGAAACTTGGAGTATTTCATGAATGGAGAAAGCAAAGATTAGGTCACAGGTATCTGTTGAGCACAGACTATGTATTGGTGTATTTTGTGCTCTAGGGATCAATGCGCACAAACCATATTCCTCAGAATGTACACTGTAAGGAAATTATTAAGTAAAATTTATAGTGTTAGAAGAAAATTCAAAATAGATAAGTATTCTTGATCAAGTGTCAAGGAAAGGCTTTCATGTTTGATTTAAGGATCAGAGGAGCTGAGAAAAGTAGTCCTAAAGGGAAGAGGCGTGGGGGAGCATGGCGAGGCGCCCCAGGGGCTGGGCCTGGAGGGCAGAGGGAGCAGGTGCCTGGCAGTAGGATGCATCGGGAAGCGGATGCTAGGGGGTGACGAGGGAGGCCTGTCTAGTAGGGCTAGACAAGTTGACTGAATATTGAAAAGCACATAACCAAAAACAAACAAAAATCCTATTAGCAAAGAAACCAGTACAATTTAACAGAAAGGTTTCATATCCCTTGGTAAAAAAGCCTAAGAAAAAAGGTTTTTAAATGAGCAAAGGGCATAATCAGACAAGTTAGGTGTAAAGGAAATTCACCTGGCTGCTAATTATATGGAACTGCAGGAGGCCGGAAATGACGAGAACTTAGTAAGTTAGAAAGGATAGGGCTTACTAAGTGAGACTCTGCGGGGACAGTAACTTGTGTTTCATTTGAAAATGTAAATGCACAACATATTTCTTGAAGATCGAAAAAGCTTTTTAAAATACGTACCAGTTGGGCCAGCAGTTCCACTTCTGGGAATCTGCCCTGAGTCTGAAATAGATTTGTTGTACTACATTCGTCTCGACTTAGAATAAGCAAAGGGAAAAACAGTTGGAAACACCTTGAAATGGATGGCTGAAGGGTAACTGACTCAGTCTGTAACAGCTTAGTCTGTGTGTGGCTGTTTAAAATGACCATACAGGAGTGGAGTTTCTAGAATTGTAAATGGTGATGGGTCCCTCTATAGAGGACGAATGTATGTGGGGACCTCAGAAAGTTTGTGGGAAATGGAATTCAAACAGGATCTTTAACTCTGCAGGTGTTTGGCAATACACATGCCACATGAGTTGCAGATTTTTCACATGCCCAAATTTCAAAAAACTTTATAACAAAACCTTTTCATTTTAATTCTCCAGAATTTTTAAAGTGCCCTTGCAACTAACATTGGAGTCTGGTTTTTCTTTTGGCAAGAATTTTGATGACAAATGGAAAGTGCACCTGGAAAGATAATGATCAAGGGTAGGCAGAGTCAGGTGGGGTGGTAGTAGGGCTGGGACAGGAGCCCTAGTTCAGGCTTCAGAATTAGGATTTTGTAGCATGGCACATTTCTGTGTGCTGCCCCAGAGTCGAGTGTAAAAACAAGTGCAAAACCAACATAATTTTAGACCATGGAGACTCAAAACTTTTACCCTTTTAGGAAGCTAGTGGGCCATCTGCCTTACCTCTTCAACTTGGAGTGCAAGACCCACATAGGGACTTTTGATTTTGTTTTTAAAGATTTTGCAAGTCATAGTTTCAGAGGGAGAGGGAGTGACAGAGAAAGATTTCCATGCACTATTTGACTCCCCTCACATGGCTGCAAGAGCCAGGACTGGGCCAGACGGAAGCTTGGAGCTTCGTCTGAGTCTCCCACGTGGGTAGCAGGGGCCCAAATGCTTGGGCCATCTTCTACTGCTTTTCCCAGGCTGTAAGCAGGTGGTTGGATTGGAAGTTGAAAGGCCAGCTTCCCTAGAAGGCATTTTTGTTCCTGCTTCTAGTCTTATGCTGAGTGGAATGCTAAAAAACTGACATTCATCTCAATGACAGCTGTATCAGGAACCAAGATATCATTTTCAGTATTGCACAGTCATTTACAGGAAAGGATACACAGCTTTGTCCCGGGTTTTTGTGTTTACCTGCACTGTGGTGGATAAACATTATCTGAAGCCCATCTGCACTTTCCAGATATCACATTGAAAGGCGTAATGCAACCACTGGTTCTCCAGGTCCTTTCTATCTGGTAACCAGGCAAAAGTGCATGTCAAAGGCAGCGTGGCGGATGCCCATGTGGTCAGTCAGCCGTGTTCACCTTCTGATGCCGCGCGGGGGGCTGTGCCGTAGCGTTCCTGTATCAATAACATCAAGGATAGTATGAATGCTTCAGTTATAAGCACTGTACAATTGTTAAATTTTAAAAGTAGAAAACTGAAAGACAGTCACCTGAATAACTTAGATAATAGCTACTTGTTGTTTAGTATGTTTTAAAGAACCATTAAAGTGTTAACTGTTAAAGTATCAGGTATGTGGAAAATGATTTCTGAAAGCTACTCCAGTTTTAGATTCACAGCAAGGGAACCTGTTACACACAAAATAAGTGATTCACTTGAGTCATATACAATCCATGATGACTGCTACAAGCCTTTGAACTTGACCTCTGCCAAGTATTAATGAAAGTAACTGATTCTTGGGGGAAAAAAAATACTAGCAGTTAAGACAATTTTAACTTTAAATGGTCATTTACATCTTACCACTGTAAATGACAATACCAAGTAATATTACAAAGTATAAGCTCAGGTTCTTAGGATCTCTTGTATATAAACTGTATTCTTTTTCTAGAACATGGTCTTACTCATGGTCTGTTTTTATTTTGTAGTCGTATCCTATGGTATTGCAGTATCGACCAAGAATTGATTTCGGTTAGACCAAGGGACCTAGCCGTCACTGAGAGAATCCTGCGGTTTGTTTACTCATGGACAGATGGCACCGTGGATGGTGCGTGGACTAGGCGGAAATGGATTTTCAGCATGCAAATAAGGCCATTGTCTGTCTCAACTGTCAGTTGCATTCATATTGTTTCTATTAGAAGCAAACCAAGTGCCATTTTGCTCCTGAACTGTCTACGCAAGGTATTTGTGCCATCTCACAGTGTGCAAGTCGTGGGTAAAATCGGGTGTGCATCAGGAATCTTAAGTATTCGCTTGCCTGTTCCAAGACTGTAACATTTAATCACACTAGCTCAGTGGCTCGGTCTTTGTGGTACTGCAGTTTTCACATACTGTTTTATTAATTCTTATTCAAATAGAGTACTGTACAAGAACCTGATAGTTATATCTTGAAATTATTTTGTATGGAAATAGAGAAGTGGTTTCTGAACCATTGTCCTGTTCTTGGTTAAGCTTTTTATGTTAAAAAAAAACCCCATGCTTGAGTGTGCAAGTCCTCTTGTGAAGAATTCGTTATTCTTTAACCTTGGAGCACATCCTCACTGTAGACCTTCTAGGCGTCTGTCTAGTCTACCAGTTGCACAAGGAAGGCACGTCAGCCCTCCCAGTGGAAAACACATGTGACTTCTTGGACAATTGAAGATGGATTCGCAACCATTCTAAATGTTGGCAGCTGATCATTTACTCCTAATAAAAAATCAGTATGTAGGTAAGGTTGCTGTTTGATAATGCCTTATGAAAGCAGGTGCTGCTTAATGAGACGTCCCTGTGCAGCCCACCTTATGTGCGCGTCTTCACGTTGTTGCTGTCACTTAATGAGCACATGGCTGCTCTCAGCTGGCCTTAGCTGTGTGTCACTGGCATGCAGAAGGGGACAACCATTTTACATGTTAGGATTTTTAGAGCAGATGAGATTAGCTATTTTATGGATTTCTAAAAGTCTCAAAACAGTTACAGATCAAAACTGTTATCATATTTCCAAACCATATTCTTAAAATAGGATAAATGCAGTGCTGTAGGCAAATAGGCTAATCAAAGTTCATCGTTTGAGGGTATTTTAATTTAGATCCTGTTGTAACAATCACAGGGAAATGGGATTCCTGTCCTGTACATCAAGGTGCGAGCTATGACAATGTCCTTAATTTTTGCAGTTTTGTTCGGTCTTTCATTCTTTGGGGGAATTAGTCTGCAGGGATCTTGTTACCTTAATTTTATGAAAAACTTCCCTTTAAACCCTGTAAACTTCAGTTTCAAAAACCTTGTGTAGAAATTGTTTTACTCATTGCTTTGAAATAAGCGAAACAAGCTGGAAAATTCTTGAAAGTTAGGAAAAATTTAGAAATCTTACATGAGCACAATCTGTGTGTTAAACAGTTTTAATACTGTATACATGGTATAAAAAAAAATGCTACATTTCCAGCTGAAATATCCTAAGTAAATGCCTTTTGATTTTTAAAATGCTTCTTAGAAGCATTGCACAGTACAAAGATACATGAAAAAAATAAAAGCCCAGAGTCATGATGTAAAAGGCTGCAACTCCACAATTATCTTTTCCTTCTGTTTTGTTCAAGTCAAAGTCTGTATTAAAATTGTCTTATTCCAAATTTTGTAGGAAAAGGCAATGGAAATACCTAACTGTTTTGATAGGTTATTTTCCTAGAAGTTCTCACAGGCAGAATTTTAAAAGGCAGACTTTCACTAACTCTTTCAGTGGACGGGGAACACGGAAACACACACACAACCAAAAACTGAATTTACTGTCAAACTACAGAAATAATTTTGCTTTGCTGTGAAACTTGGGTCCCGATGTCTCTTATTACAAATTGATCACATCTAGCTCAGTGATTAAAAAGTAGCATTTTACATATGAAAATTAATGCAAAAGTTGAGTGCATTTTAAATACCGCAAATGAGACTTTGCAACGGAAGTTTGTGGCCATAAATGAATGTCATTTACAAGGCCTCTTCTCATTTGGTCTGTTGCCTGATCACATGAACTGTCATTTCTCTTGCAGATGCATAGACAGTTGTGGAACTGGGAATAGTTTTACATAAAAAATTGCTTTCTTTAATGTCAGTGCATTAACGTTAGTTGAAATGCAATGGAATTACACACCCACACGTTGTCTGTGTGCCAAAACACATGACAACCTCACATGAAGAGCATCACTCGTCACTGGGGGCCAAGCGCACATTCTTGGGCTGTGTAAACAGCGTGCTGCAGCTGACAGCGTGGAGCGAGCTCAGCTGGGCCTGCTTTCATGTCTAGCAATGCACTACATTCCTGGTTGGCATCCCCTAAGTCGGTTTGAAGAATTTGCAAGAAATCAGCTATAGAAAAACATGCAGGTCCCTTTAGGGTTAGGTTTACACGTGTAGGGTGCTAACAGAACACTGCGTCGAAAACCCATAGGAATAACCATGACAACATGTACAGTGATCTTGTTTATTAAGCAATATTTTGGGGGGAGAAAAACTTCCATGAAAGACTTATCTGTTTTATCTGCCTTATTCATAGCCATATCAGAATCAAAGAATCTGGACATACAAAATGCTTATGGCTCATAAATTTCACGGAATTCCTGTCAGTTAATAGGGGTGTTGGGATGTGGCCTTTGCTCTAGAGGAAGTATGAGAGGTTAAACTGAGGACTAACTGTCCCCCGGCGGTTCAGGTCATGGCTATTCATTAGATATTTATCCCATTCTAATATGCCACATTTTATGAAGTTAATGAGTTCTCAACTATGTTACCCATGCAAATAAGCTAAATTTAAACTGCTTCCTCAAGGGAAAAAATGTGTTATATAGTATTATGAACTGTTTAGCTTTATTGAATATTTAAGAGAAAGTGCCTCATTGCTAAAGTGCATTTGTTTTAGATTTACTGCATAGATTTTGAGTTCTCTTTTACCTATGTCGTATGAGTGGTTTTCTATCTAAATAGGCGCTTGCAAGTTTCTCTTTTTTGAAAGATTTTCTTAAGGATATAGGTATCACCAAAGACATTTTACTGTTAATAACCATATTCCAGAGACCGTCTCAACAGCTTGGACCTGGAGGATTTTTAGTTTGTAATTTTGTAGAGTTAGGCAATAACCTTCATTAATTGCTAAACATTACCAAAGAAAGGTTTGAAAGTGAATTTTCTTGGTGGGCTCAAATAAATTCAGGTCTTCCCTGCAGGAATCAGACTTCCTTGACAGAGCATCACTGCGGTCAGCACAGCCTGGCAGGTGTTAGCATGACCTCAAAGACATCACAGGAGGGAAAAGGAAGAAATACATACTCTGAAAAGAAAATTGAAATTGAAATTTTCTTTTTTTAAAAAGTTGGAACTTGAGAGACTTCCATGCAGGGTAGTTGCAAATTACAATTATGCTGATTTAGCTTCCAGTTTCTTGGTCATGAGAGAAGTTTCATTACAGACATACTTGGGGGACACTGCGCGCATGCTCACTCACATAGAACATGACAGTCTACTGGACTTCCACTTAGTGTTTTTTTTTCTTTTTTCTGTGTTTGAAAGCAAGATTTTCATACGAGCTCCCCCCCCCCCCAAAAAAAAGCAATTCTTGCAGCAATTACTGTATTGGTATTCTCATTTAGATACAACCAGATGTGACTAAATAGGTTACAGGACCAGGAGCATGTATGTCCAGCGAGGGTGGGTTACCGTTCGGCCATCTCTCCGTGGGCGCTCATAAGAGGTAAAACTCATGAGTCTTTCTGCTGCTTAACTGCATAAACCCCCTGCATAGGATGCAAGCGGTCACCACAAGTCTGGCCTACCATGCCGAATTTTCCAGCAGGCTAAGCTTTATTGCCAGAAAGATGTTGATTGCTTGCAGCAATTTCAGGAGTGGCAGAAGTGAAGATGCTTGAAATACTATTATGTCAGAGAGAGACACCCCTACGCTTACGGCAGAATGGCCATGACTGGAGCGCACATTAGAACTGTTTTTACTTTAAGATTTGTAAGCACATTGAAGGTGAGGAATCCCTTTCAAAGAATCAAATAACAGTTACCAGTTTTACTTTAGTATGTTGATGGAAAGCATCAGATTGAAATTTCATTAAAGTCAAAGGTTCTTAGTTTAGTTTTATGTTTTGTTTTGCTTTTTAAGCAAGAGCATTCTTTCTGGCAATTTAGAAATGATTCTCTCCCTGGGTAAATACAGTGATCCCAAATAGTACATTTCTGATCCTTGTATTTTTAATAGAATTAAAATACTTGAGCACCTCCTTTTCAGAAACTCCTCCAGTGTGTTAACTGCCCACTCACCGGTATCTGTATGGGATTAATACACCTTTGTCTAGGATTCAAAGCAGACTAGATTGTAATTATTTTTAAATGTAGAATCAAGCGAAGTAGATAAATGTGTGGGGGCTTCAAAAAGTTTGTGGAAAAATGCAACTCAGAAGTTACTGCAAATTTGCCATGGACCTTTTGAAACCCCTCCCCCCACCCCTATCCACGGGTTTTAAATGCCGGGTCTTTAAATGCTCGAGTCTTCTCCCATCTTGTGGTGAATTAGAAGCCTGCCTAGTGTCAATGAAGATGAAGTGTTTTGTTTAACGAGGTAGTCAACAGGTTTGCTTACTGATCTAGCCACTGGAGCAGGAGCTCCCCGCCTTGAACCACAGACGGGCTCATCACACTGTTTGAGGTCTGATGTTTTGCCGTGTTTCTTGCAAGGGGCTGGGTGCCCAAGTGTCCTTACAAAGCTGTGGTCCAGGACGGGAGAGCGTGCGGGGGAGTGCCAGGGCCCTCCTGCGTCGGTCAGCTCAACTGCCGTCAACAGTTTTTCATGGAATAGCCCTCACGCTAAATCAAGGTATATTTTAAGGTTATGTTGCTAATTTTCCTTTGTAATATGAAATACTTTAAGCTTTTTGTCGAAAGTGGTAACATCTTAATACAAATAAAAACCTTTTTGTGGTTGTAAGATTTAGCTTATAAATCATTCAAATTGAAGTGAAAGATTTACCAGGTCATTGTTAATGACTTAGTCTATTAAGAGTATATGTATTTTTGTAATGGAAAAGCACTTGTAGATATTTAATCAGTACAAGATATATGTGTTTTGCAGAAATAAAATGCTGCTTAGAGATTCTCTTTAAATATTTTTATTTTTGTGCTCAAATGTGTTTTCTGTTAATCTATGGAATGTTCTGTACAAAGCTGTATGATTGTACTGTTGGGCTAAAAAAATTTTTTTTTAAATCTGGACTTAGCCAAGTATATTTGACCATGTTAAAATAGTATCTTTGTTATTAAAAAGTTGATTGCACAACTTAGTTTTGTCATCTTTAACATTATTAGCTGTGGAGTCGAGCCCCTCTGCAGAGGTCCCCACTGAATGCTACTGCAGCACTTGTTGCTGAAACGTCAATGAGTATTTCAGGTCATAAACATTTTCTCAGAACTCTGAAGCTGTTTGGTTTTAAGATGACAAACTGCCCTCAACTCATGCTTTAGATGTGCAAAATCTCTTGAAAATTCTGTGTTCCACAAACTTTGCGCAGCTTCCCACATTGATCTACGTTCTTTTGCCTCCTAGGAATTGGCTCCTGGGAGGCCCTGCCCTACTTATAAACCATGCTGGCCCCATGAAGCTCCAAACAAGGAAAGAAAAACTGTTCCTTCAAACACAGTCCAGCCATCCTAGGATGCCCTCTTTCTCCTACCATATCCCTACCCACAGCCCTCTTTTTCCTCCTCCTCCTCCCCCTCCTCCTCCACAGCGCCATCCGTAGCTTGTCTCTAAAAGCAGGTGCATCGAGATGCCCCATCCTCAACATTTCCATCCTTCCAACACTGCCACGGTTGCACGTGTGTGTGTTCTGCCATTAGCTTATGAACCCTGAAAGGGACACTAGTGTTACAATAGTAAGGGACAGAGCCTGCAGCCAGGCTCAGGACGAAGGATGTCCACAGCAACCTTCAGCACTTGGCAAGACACACAGTACTGTCTGCACCCTGACTTCCTCCTGGTTCACAATGCAGCAATTGGATGGAAAGTGTACAGGAACCACGTGGCCATGTGATCTGGGAAAGTAGACAGCCTACCCTTTTTGTCAAAGGTCCCAATGTTAGTGTCATCACTCCAGGTTGACAGTATCCCCTCTTTGGGCTAAATGCCTTCAGAAATGCTTCACGGTAGCCAAACACTAGCTCCACTTGGAGGTAAGCCTCAAATGTGGTCACAAGCCAGGGCTGGCCTGAGCGGCCATAAGTTTACACATGCCCCTGAAACAAGGGCCTGACTGGCAGTGCCAAGTTTGTAGGAAGAAACTCCAGAGAAGTTGCAAGCATGGGGCACTGGCCAGTCACCTGGTAGATAGGAGCTGTGCCCACACTTAGCCTAACTGCCACGCTTCTCTCACCACTGGCCTCAAAGTGCAGGCAGGAACTGCCTTGTACCCACCCCATCCCCAGCATCACGCAGCGCCAGGTATGTAGATTCACAGGTCGAAACACCGAGCTTCCCAGTCATGGGCACTGGCCTCAGCACCGAGGCCCATGTTCTTTCCCCATTGTTGCTCAAAGCCAGAGATGAGCACAGTGAAGCTCTCAGCCTGTGAGACCAACAGGGCGCAACGTCAGCACACCTGCACTAGACAGCTGGGAAATGCAGGGTCACCCAGGGGTCACTGCCCCCATCCACATCTGCTGGGAAGGCAACTAGCTTACAGCTGTTGGCACTGCAGAGGGCAAGAAGGCAGAAAACAGTGGAGCCCATCCAGGCTCTCAGGGAAAGCAAAACTCAGCTCTCCTTCTACTCCTTCCTGTATCTCATCACCTCTCCTTCATTTCCCCACCTTTTTTTTCTTCATCGGAGCCACACCTAACTGCCACGCTCCCTTCTCCCGTCTGTCTGGTTTCCCTTGCCTCTAATAGATTCCCCACTTCTGGCATTTCATGTCCTGTGCCCAAGCCCTCACTTATCTGATTTTCCCTTCTCCAAGCCCGACTGCCCTCAGCTTTGGGTCTTCTGCCCTCCCCCTCCCCCCGGGGGGGGGGGTGCGTCTCTGCACACACATTTGCAGTTTCCCCTGCAAACTAGATGTGCATCCCCTCCAGGCCATCCAATAGGATGGGGGAATGGAGTGTCTCGGAGCAGCTGAGCCTGCTGGCCTGAAGCGTGTACCCCCTACCTCCAGCCGGACCCCTCTGAGCAGCTGCAAAGGAGCAGCGTGGTCACTGCCTGTCAGCATACTGCAGGCTGAGAAGCTCCGACCACAGAACACCTCAGTTCCAGAGACTGGGTACCCAAGATCCAGGCTCTGCAAGGCTTGGCTTCATGGTGGGTTGGCAGCTGTCTCCTCATTGTGTCTGTAGGGCCTCTCCCTTCTTTTTGGCAAGAAGGGGGAAAAAAGTCACAGCCAATTAGGCCCTCACATTTTTAGCCCCATAAAATCATACTTACCTCTACAGTGGCCTTATTCCCAAGTAGCGCCCGCCCACCAGGGGGACTAAGGTATCTGCATATCAACGGGGGAGGTACCTGGGTTCATGTGCTGGCTATTCTGTGCGCAGCTGGACAAGATATTTCACATGAACCTCAGTTTCTATGTTTATAACACAGTGAAAGTTAGGATTTGTCCCCAAGGTTTGTGGGAAGGGCAGACAAGGCTTACAACAACGGAGCAAGGTAACTGGGATCTCCCATCATCTGTCCCCTGCAGGCTTGGGTTGTACTGCGGTTCTGTCCTTGCTTTGCTTTCATAGCTCACATACTGCCAGTAAGTCAAGTCTCACCTACGTACAGCTGCTCCCATCACAGGGAGTACAGAGAAGTCATTTCACTGGATCGGCGCACAGTCTAGAACAGAACAAACTTCTTCCCTTTTCCTCAAATCTATTTACTCATCAGAGCAGCCCAAGAGGTAGGAAGTCTTGGCCTACTTCTAATGGTTGAAAGCAAACCTAAGTAAGTCAAATCATCAATAAGAATGTACAATGGGAGCTTAGTGAATTATATTCTAGGGTTAAAAAATTGAAATTTGTACCTAATTTTTTCCCTAACATGCATTTGGTGTAAGGCTTGCTATCCCTTGTTTTGATCTCCAAAGGTCTGTATTCCAAGGGTACTTGGGTGTGAGAACCGAGAGAGCTGCAAGGAGATTGCCCAAAATGGATAGCACAGCAGACCAACACTTGGAAGCCAGCCTGGGCCCGAGACCACACACCATGTGGCCAGCACGTTGCTTTGAGCACCCACCTCATCCACAAAAGGCATGGAGTTAGGCTGTAGGAGCAGAAGGAGGGGAGATATTGAACTACAAAGGAGAAGCCGCACTCATGTTCCCTCTACTTTCCTAGGAAACCTGGGCAGGGAAGCAAAGTGCAACTGGCAGGAGGAGCGAAAGTGGGTTCTAGTTGAACTGGGTGGAAAATGAATACTGGAAAGCCTTCTCCAGTAGCCCTAGTTCGGGGCTCAGCAGAGAAGTGGCAGCACTGCCAAGCACTTATCCTCATCTTGCTGGAGTCACTGCTCATTCCTTGAGACCCAGGCCCCTACTTCCCTGTGCCAGCTGCTGCAGGAGGTGCCACCCACTCTCCTCCCTCTCCAGAGGTGACCAGTCCTCACCACCAGCTCTTCCTCATCTCTCCTGTCATAGGCACTGGTGCAAAGAGTTCAGTTTGGGTCCCACCAGAGAGACGTGAATATGTGTAACCACAATACTGCATTAGAACTCAGGAGGTCTGCTTGAAATTCTTCGTCTTTTGTCTCTCATGGGCCCCTGCCCTGCATGAAAGCTCCTTCAGTCCCCATTCTCAGCCTGCTGGAAATCACGAAGCACCATCTCTCCAGCAGTTCCAGAGACCAGGTTAGTCTCCTCAAACTGCCCTCATTTCCAAACTCTGCTGCTAGCCAGAGCCCAACACCAGGCCCCTGTGCTCCCCCGAACGGAGCGCAGTCCGTTCTCTCCCTCTCTTCCCTACCAAGTCTTGGTGTCTGGTGGGGAGGGGTGAAAATGGGTGCAGCCGAGCAGGCTGGGAGCCAGTTCCAAGCACTTTGGGCCTGATCTATATTCAAAAAAGCTCCCTCTCCCTCACTAACCCATCTGGGGTCTCTGGGGGGCTCCCTCTACCTGACAGCGGCCACTCATCCTGCCCGCAGCCTCTAGCTCACTTTCTTGTAACCCTTGCTTCCTGTACCAAGGCTCTGCCCTGACGCTGCCACCTGCGGCACAGTCTCTTCTAGCATCAAGCTTCTGGCTGCTATAGTTTCTTGAGGTCCCCCATACATCGCAGGAGTCAAGCAACATGGGCAGAAATTAGCTGGCCTCTTGCACGCTCCGCCCTGCTGCTGCCTGTTTCAAGAGGACCAGCCTCTGGCTTTAAGACTGCTTGGAGTGTCCCACCTATACAGTTCCACGTTTTGAGTTGTTGAAGTCTGTGCCTGCTGGACCAGGAGGAGGAGTAGCTTGAGGAATGGTATGCCCAGCCCAGCTCACCCACACATAGCTTCTGCAGAAATCCTCCCTGCTTAGTTCCTGTGTATTGTTTTTGAAAACTGGGAGGCTGTCAGAGACTTTCCTCTCAGCCAACCAGTTAACCAGAACTGAATCCCCACTAAATACCAGCAGATCCTCCCTCCACCTTCATGTCCAGTGGAGCCAAAGTTGTGCAGGCTCTAGAGAAATTGTTTTCTTTGGTCACTTGGTCCAGGGCGAGATGACACACAGCCCTTAGCCAGCCCTTGGCTCCTGATGGCCAAAGCAGGTGAGACAGAGGGTCCCTGTTCCCTGTCTTGCGGCCCATGGTCCACACTGATGCCCTGGTGCCAGCCCAGGGCCCTGGAAGCCAAGGACTGGACTGAAGGGAAGGAACACAAAGTGCACACCTCTGGCCAAAGACCAAGGCTGCTGCAGACCCTCGAGCACTGCAGGCAGGAGCACAGGGGCCAAGAACCCCGGGACTGGAGAGGGAGTGAGGACAGGCAGAGCCCTGTGGGCTCCAACAGAGAGGAGTGGCTCCCCGACTACAGTGTCCGTGCCCCGATAACGGGCTGATCGGCACCATGTCCAGGAGCCCCACATGGTGCAGCTGGGGAAGCAGATGATCGAAATAGGGACCAGTGCTAGAACTTGTGCCATCTAGGCCGGCCAAGAAGTGGGATAGTACAAGTCTAAGGGGGCCTGGCACAGTAGCCTAGTGGTTAAAGTCCTTGCTTTGCATACGCTGGGTCCCATATGGGTGCTGGTTCTTCTATCCACTGGTTCACTCTCCAAGTGGCCACAATTGCTGGTGCTAAGGTGATCCATAATCAGGAGCTTC